CTATAAACACTATATATTTTAATGTTTATTTTCTGGCCCCCATTTACTTCCATTGCAAACCTGATGAGATGATTTATTGATTAATTTACTGTGGTGATCAACCATATGCTACAAATGCAGTCAATTGAGTTTAACTTGTATTGGATGAAACATATTAGTGGGTACATGACAAATCAGAATTCACCAATCTCTACAATCCAGTCATCATTTAACTCGTCTACACGCCACGACTGACCTCATGGAAAAACGCACACACTCACCTCAGTAAGAATGCTGAATCTCACTTGTGGGAGTTTTGCGAGCCTTCCAGAGCGGCGAGCTTGGCAGATGAGGGCAGTTCTGTGGGATGCCACTCTCAGCAGAGACTCAATGAACCCTGGCAGGAATAACAGCATTTTAACACCACATCTACACTGGCACAGCATCAGGTTCTGTCCCAACCGCTTTGCAGCCCACACTTCTGACTATAGACATCATAACGCTCATATAGGCATCCAAATGTCGAGTCGGGTGAACAAGATGATCTAGAACTAATTGAAAAAACAAGTGGTGTTTGGGAACGTTCTGTCATCCGAGAATGTAAAGAACACAGCAAAAAGTGCAAAGGACATTATGATGTTTGCTTAATTGATGCAGAGCACAGAAACAGACAAGCCAGTAGTAGAACAGTTAAGGAGACCATCAAATCTAAAACAGCCGCAAAATACTTATAACTTCATGAAAAGACCTTTTCAAAAACATTGCAGTGTCCCTATGGTCAAAAAAAAAATATTGACAGGAACACCAATTACTCAAAGGTCACTAAAAATTGGATGAAAGAAATTGTTTTACTATTATTATTATTTATCCACTAACAAGGTTGTTGGTAGAATCTGGAATGGAATAACTTCAAACAAACAAGAAGAACTCCTGCTTCAAGTGGACAAGTCTATCGGCCAAAGCAAATGATCTAAAACAATTAAAAAATATCAACCAATTATCAGCATATAAAATTTACATTTACATTTAGTCATTTAGCAGACACTTTTATCCAAAGCGACTTACAAATGAGGACAATAAAAGCAGTCAAAACTAACAAAAGAGCAACAATATATAAGTGCAAATGACAAGTCTCGTTCACTTGCAGAACGCAAGCTTCTAGAGGGCACATAACTCCGAAGTAATGAATTTTGGTAAATGGGTGCAGAGCCAGTGGTGGTTTTGTAGGCAAACATTAATGCCTTGAATTTAATGCGAGCAGCTACTGGTAGCCAGTGCAAATTGATGAACAGAGCTGTGACGTGTTCTTTTCGGCTCATTAAAGATTAATCTTGCAGCGGCATACAACCACTGGAACAGCCTCAAAACATCTCAGATGTTCTCTCCATCTTCAGCTACTTAGAATATTGTTATTGTATCAACTGTCCAGACATTGTCAGCGGAAAATTCTCTTTTCCCCCTTTTCCTATTTCAATTTAGGAGCTTTGTTTTTATTTATTTATTTTTCTAGAAATTTGCTGTCTAAATAAACTTTATTTAAAAATTCACATAAAATAATAATTCACATTTGAAAGAGGCGTTCTCGAATTAATGAGTCGTTGAGTTGTCAATCGAGTCTGAAAGATTCGGTTCTCGATTATCAATATGCTCATTACGAGTGAGTTCTTCAGAACCGCTCGAAACGATTCCGTAGTCGCGAACAAATCGTTCATACCGGTTTTGTGAGCCGGATCAATCGATTCACTAATAAGATCCGACTCAAAAGAACCATTCGTTCGCGAATCGGACATCGCTGTAATGCGCTACGAAACCAGCCCTATCCGCCCCAAGTTTCTGTTATGAATTGATAACCGCGTTTCTTACGGCGTTCGAACAAGTTTGCACATACATATGAGCGCCGAACACTTGTCGCCTTTCCGTTAGATCCGCCTGCAGAGCAATTGATGTGGAAAACCAAAAGAAAAAGAGTCAAGGAAACCAAGTTAGCCAACCAAGGCTCGTCTCGTTTGGCCTAAATTGAATGCACGGCCCAAACAAGCGACAGAACCATAACAAAGCCGAGTCAACTATGTTGATTTACGGCCGAAACAAAGAAAGATCCTTCTACCAAACCCCGAACGTATCTGATTTGTTTGTCCGAAACCAGCACATAATGGTGTAGATCGAGTAAGCATGTCTTTGTGTCAGTGCCCAGAGCGGTGGTTAAAATGCAAGATAAAAATAATTTTACAAACCTCTCAGACACTCCGCATCACAGACATAGAAACACGGTACGATATGTGACCTGAGTGAGTCGTAGAAGGAATTTTGTGCGAAACGAGTGAACTTTTTTCAGCCTTTCTCTACAGATAAGGGGTGTTTTTCTCTCTCTTGTCTCTCATAGCGCTGTCTGCGCTTCAGCTCTATGCAGGCGCACTGCGCATGCGCAAAGAACTTCCTCTCAAACCATCTGTTCTAACAAGCGCAGTTAGCAGCGTACGCTAAATTCCAAGGGCTAGAAATGCGATTTACCACTACTGATGGAGTAATTATCGTGGTTATTTTAATTAGTTCATCTTCCATGACTTCGATAAGACATGCGTCTAGTAAATTTTATGATGCATTACAAAGTTACTCTAAACTCAGCCACTAGCAGTTCCCATAATGTCAGGGCAATTAATTAAATGGCACGAAGACTGATGAAAGATATAATAGACTGAACCTATAATATATTGATAGGTTATTTTCTCACATACACTATATAAACATAGGCCTGCTGTGTTTTTAACCACGTGGTCTAAGTATACGTGTCATTTTACAGTATAGAAACTTGACGTTCAAATAAAATAACTTTTTTTTTTGTCAGATTTGTATGACAAAATAAAGTTACTCTTTTAGGGAAGTATAAATGTGACTGGGCATAAGCATAACTATCTAGTTTCCCCTCTCCCACATAACCAAACAAACAAGTGCCAATAAAAAATATTTTTTTTTCTACTTCATCATTATAAACTCTTGGCACACTGATAGTATCACGTCTGTATAACTGAATGAGATGATATATATCATCATTTAATATCATGGGAGGAGATAAGAGTATTTTTGCAGGGGCTGTTGTAATGGTAATGATCTTAACAAATCCAGGCTAACACTCAATGAAATATGAAAGGCATCCTTTAAGCCAGGGGAGATATACATGGAAATAATAACAGATGGAAAAAGTGACTTGCTGATTTGAATGGTTAAAAAAAAAAACTCTTATTTCTGTTAAAAGATATAAGCTCATCATCTGTGAATTAAAAGCTGTCTCACTTGCTTCATTACCATGACAAAACCTGAGTCTCAATGCCCTGTGACCTACTGCATGGCACTATCAATGTTTGAAAGTAAGAGGATTATTAACTAAATGAAAAAGATGAGAGTGGATGAACTAGTATTTGTGTGGAAAAATATTCTATTAATAACAGCCTTTTATAATTCAGTGTTAGTGGTAAAATGTAGATCTGGATTACATGGACAACAGCCCTGCATACAAATCATACACACAAACACACATATATATAGATATATAACTAAACTAAAACAGGCCTTTTTTTAGAAACACAATGATCTTGGTTTACAATCTTAAAAATAGGGTTGTACATTAATAAGTTTGCAAAAGGATGTTTCGCAGCAGTGCCATAAAATAACCATTATTTGGTTCACCAAGTTGAAATGACTTGTACTTTTAAGTTGATTTAACTTAAAATTTGAAGGCAGCCACAAAACTTATGTTTTTAAGTTGAAAGGGGTGAACATTTTTTACAGTGTACACTAAATAAAGATACATTATTGGTATTGATGGTTCCTTTTATTTGACCTTTTACCATCCATGAAACCTTTTCATAGCACAAAAAGATTCTTTATAGTGGATGAAGATTCTTTAGATTGTTTAAATGTTCTTCACACTAAGAAAAAAAATGTTTCTTTTAAGAACTGTTCACTGAAAGGTTCTTTGGAGAACCCCAAATATTTCTTACATGGCATCGCAGCGAACATTTTTACGAGTGTACATGATACCTGAAACTTCCCTCTTTTATTGTGAATTTTTGTCAACCACAGCTGCCAGGTTAGTTTTTTTTCTCCATCAATTAAAAAATAAGGAGGAAGATAGGAAGATACATGAGAGAGAGAGAGAGAGAGAAAAAAAAGAGAAACAGCTCTATGATGCATCTCTGTAAAGTTTACCCCTCTGGCTTTCCCAATTATGAGACAGAAATTCTCTGTCAGGTCGTGAGGACATGAGACTGACAGGAAAGATGCTTGATCACGTTTTCCAGCATCAGTGATAGTACATCAAGTTTGAAAGTTTTATCATAATTGAGAATTTCACAGTTTTTTTCTTCGCCTTTTTTCCCTGTTAAAAGCACTGATATTCACACACACAGGGAAACAGCTGTTGGCCAGTTTCATCAGAATGAAAAGAGCCTGAAATGCTGCATCAAACAGTGCAGTTTCACTTAAGAGTGTGCAGACAGACACGTTTTTCTGACCTGTGTTTCTGGTGCATTGTGCCCAGCATTCAATTGCTATCCACTTTGTGATTTGAACAAATCGATGGGCTATAAAACAGGCACAAAAATAAAAAATAAAACTAATTCCAATAGACTGACTCGATTTAAATTTTCAAATACCCATGTGAGGTTGACAGTTAATTAGTGCAACCTAAAAATAATGTAAATTAGATTTTAGACATATTAGCCATTTCTGGATCAAATGGAGAGTACCGACTATAGCCTACTTCTCCAGACTTCTTTTCTTATTGTGAATAAAATATCATTTTTAATTATGCGCTGCTTCTAACAGATTTTTTAAATTATTTATTTTTTTTGACAAAAAGCTAAATAGTTCACCGTGGGTTTTCTGAGCTGGTTTCGGTTGCTGCACGTTACATAGTACCCCCCTGGCAACTAATGTCTTAAGAACTCCAGAGCTCTTACTGCAGTAATCATCTGTCATAATTAACTTAATTGTTTGAGTTCTGATTTCTAATCCGGGAAATAGTAATGAGTTTTAAAACCTTTGGCAACAGAGAAAAAGGATGGAGAGAGATACGGGGGAAAGGATAGAGAGAGAAAAGTGATTAACACCCAGTCTACAAGAGGGATTCCACAAAGTCAAACTGCACAGACCATTTTTTGAGTGAAACAGTCTTGAGTTTCCAGTTTCCACTGCATAATCACAAAGCCATAAACAGAAATACAACTCTTTTGAGATGTAATGGTGGCATTGTTAAGTAATTTGACTTATCTACATGCAAACATATAACCACTCAAACTGTTCTGCTTAAAATGCATATTTGGTTAGGTACTTTTATGTACACAACTGATCGAATGTTTGGCATAATTAAGATTATGTTGTTGAAAGAAGTCTCTGATGCTCACCAGACTGCATTTATTTGATCAAAGTTACAGTAAAAACAGTAATATTGTGAAATATTACAATGTAAAATTACAGTTTTCTATCTTGATATATTTTAAATAGTGATGGCAAACCTGAATTTTCAGCAGCCATTACTTCAGTCTTCAGTGTCACATGATCCTTGCTCAGTTATTATCAGTTACATATTATTGGGGCTCAATTATTAATAACGATTCTTATCGTTATCCATGTTGAAATAAGTTTTTGCTTAATATTTTTGTGATCTTTTTTCAGGACAGTTTGATGAATAGAAAAACAGAAATATTTTGTAACAATAGATGCATATAAAATATTATTATTTGTAACATTATAAATGTATGTACTGTCACTTTTGATCAATTTAATGCATATTTGCTGAATAAAACTTTTTCAAAACTTTTGATAATAATAAGAAATGTTTCTTGAGTAGCAAATCAGCATATTAGAATGAAGATATACTAATATCTTAGCAAATTAGAAGATTTATGAATCATGTGACACTGAAGGCTGGACTGGTGAAACTTCAGCTTTACATCACAGAAATAAATAAATAAATATATATATATATATATATATGTAAAATTATTATTTTAAAATATATTAAAATAGAAAATGGTTGTTTAAAATTGTATTAAAATACAGCCTTGTTGAGCAAAATCTTACAAACATTTTACCTGTAATGTATATAGCTGATAGAAGATTGTGTAGGCTATATAGGAGATGTGGTTTATTTTTGCATTAGGGTTTGTGAAATACATTTCACATGTTAATGCATGTTTGCATGTTCCTGTGTGCATAGGTCAGCAAAAAGTTCCCCAAGCATTATTAAAAGGAAGCTCTACTTGTGTAAAATTTCATTTTATGTCGGATCACTCATTCAGATGACGACCTGTGCTGCCGGCACCTTTATGTGACCATTGAAAATTTATTGAGGTGAAAAGTACCAGGAATGTGTGCAGTGATATAACATTTTATAAAGGTTGGTTTCATGCTTCACCACTCTTCAGCATATAGGCCTACCAGCTGTGTACACATCCTATTCAGAGAGGGAGAGAGAAAGAGTGTGGAACAGAGAGAGCAGATAGCAGCATTTTGAAGCCTGTCTGCACAGAGATATTACATAGACTTCTGTCAGACTGGCTATTTCAAAAACACATAATTATCAACAAAAGCACAAAAGCTTGGGAAGACATTGGTTTAATTAGGAGGAGTGTATTGCCAAACTCCAAATACACAGCTTGAGAGAGAGAGAGAGAGAGCTGTTAGAAGTTAATCAACATTAGCCTTAATGATAAGGCCTCAGACAAAATGTGCAGACACACAGCGCAGCACAAAACCACATTGTTTGTCTTGGATTTCCAAGAAATTATCCTTATTTCACCATAGAAACAGAAGACGAAGAAGAAAAACACATCATCGTCTCTCTGTTCCTCCTTCTTCTCCCACTGCTTGTCAGAAGAAAGGACAGAAAGGAGGGGAGCGCGAGGCTGCGAATCGGTCAACAGACACGTGATTCCCGCGCTTCCAGCAGCTCGCGCTGTGCAGATAACGCGGGAATGTCGGCGGTTTGACAGGCTTCCGACGCGTTACTCTCTTTCATCTCCGCCATTGACAGCGCGGTTTAAAGCTGTTTTTGTACCTACAGTGGGTACGGAAAGTATTCAGACCCCCTTCAATTTTTCACTCTTTGTTATATTGCAGCCATTTGCTAAAATCATTTAAGTTAATTTTTTTTCCTCATTAATGTACACACAGCACCCCATATTGACAGAAAAACACAGAATCGTTGACATTTTTGCAGATTTATTAAAAAAGAAAAACTGAAGAATCTTAAGTGCAGCAGAAATTTTTTTGTAACCTTGGCCAGATCTGTGCCTTGCCACAATTCTGTCTCTGAGCTCTTCAGGCAGTTCCTTTGACCTCATGATTCTCATTTGCTCTGACATGCACTGTGAGCTGTAAGGTCTTATATAGACAGGTGTGTGGCTTTCCAAATC